CGCAACTTTAAACTGCTGATCGATGACAGTCAGTATTCGCTTTGACAAAGGATAGCAGGCCCAGCTGTCCGAAACGTCGGCAAATCTGCAAATGCATTTCGGTGAGCACAAGATGAAATATAATTATAATGACTAATCAAGAAGCCCGGACCGGGCGAGGGCGCAGGCGGTTGGTGCGGCCGAATCCATCCGTAAGCGTGTCAGCACATCTGGATCGGTTTCCACCGGGTATGGCGACCATAAATATCACACTAAAAAGGAGCCATTGCAGCCTGACTCTCGCTGCGTCAGTCTGTCGCTCCACACAAACACGTACAAGCTTGAATGTGCGACCTCAGGTGTAACACTGCACACTTATTACTTTATGCGCAAATATTTGAGGTCCAGATATCTTGTTGTTTTCATCATCCCCCAAAGAAGACGAAGAAGAATAAGGTACGAGGACAAAGACCGAATTATACTGAGACTTCAATCTCCACTCTGAATCCTTGGCAAGGAAGCACAGTCCCTGGTACAGCCACTTTGACAACCCAACAGTTGGGGTGTTACGTGAGGGTACGATGGGGCGTAAGGGCACTCTGGGCTTGTGCAGCTTTTGTAGGCCATAGAAACGGGCCATTGCAACATCTATGGCTTTTACAGCCAGCGCTTCCCTTCTCGTGAGGGCTCCTGTCTTTCTTAACTTGTCGATCGTCTTATTTATGAAATTTTTGAGTTTCTTGAACTCGTTGACAGTCGATGGCACGTACGAATCCTCGTCCATCAACAGATTTTCTACCTTTGCACAGTACTCGACCTTATCCATGACGACCGTTGAGCGCCCCTTGCCGGCGAGCAGGGTGATGATATCGTTCATCTTCCGTATTCTTAGAAGGAAAATGGTTTGGCGTAAGGCAACCAACACCATGCACATCCTCCAAATCAGAGGCAACCACCCTGTTGGTCACAAATGCAGTTGTGTTAGAACCCTCTTCTAACACGTTCAGACACACTGCAGGGAAGACAGTGGGAAGAGGGAGCAGATTAAGTACTTGTATGCCCTAGTAAAAAAGCAACGGTTATCCAAAGTCCTTCATACGCAAGTATTTTAATAAGCCCCACCTTGAGCGGTCGAAAGGAGAAGATCCTAAGTTCTGGCTCGCAATAATTATCTGAAGAACGTATCAGAGGCAACTGTAAGAATCACGAAATTATTCGGGATCGTTTGAGCTCATAACGCGGAGTCAACCATCAGACAGCAGATCATGAGGCTCAAAGACCAACTTCCACTGATAGAACAATCAGCCCTGATCTACAACATACCATGCCAAAACTGCAATGCAGGGCGTTATAACGTTGGGGGTGCCTGCGTCGACACTGGTTATAGCCCCAGTTGCGTGTTAGGAAATGAAGGCAGACAGGATAGCAGATAATAGTTTATTGTAACTGTTTCCGCTTGTACATCAGCTCTGTCTTCTGGGTGTCCAACAGCTTGTGCTGTGTCCGTCGGCAGCGTGTGCTATGTCGTCGGTCTCGTCTCGGTAGTAGTCACTCGTCTAGGGCAACAGTGTCCCATGTCTACAACAGCTGAATTCTCATGTCCCCAGCAGCAGTGTGCCGCCTCCAGTGGTGGCAGCGTATTTAAGGACCAATGGCCTTTGTGCCCTATTGACCCCTCCACAGGCAGCCATCCTGGGGTGTCCTCAGGATGACACGTCGCGCCCTCAGTGACACGCGCATGTGCATGCGTCCTTTCATGGCCCCT